AGTAACAACCGCATTTTTCAATCGTTGGATCTGCCAACATGGCGTGCCTGATTCCGTACATAACGACCAAGGGGCAAACTTCGAAAGTTGTCTTTTCCAAGGACTATGCAAAGCCTTTGGAATCCGTAAGACGCGTACGACGCCGGGTCACCCCCAGGGTAATTGGGAAAGTGGAGAGAACAAATCGCACCCTCGTCGAGTTACTGAAGGCCTTTACCAAAGAGGTGCAGCCCGAAGATTGGATTTATACCTAGGACGGGCTCTTCTTGCCTACCGAGCCTCTGCTCTCACCTCGACTGGAGTCTCTCCATTCAAGATGCTCACGGGCCGTGAAATGAGAGTCCCTTCGGACATTTTGCCTTCCTGTAAGAAACCGACAGGTGATAATGCGCCTCAGTGCGTCTTACGACTAAAAGAGAACCTCAGGAAAGCTTTCGATGTTGCGCGCAAACAACTGCAGAAAGCATACGCTAGGCAAAAGAGATCCTACGATAAACGGAGCCGAACAAACGTCTTTAAAGAGGGCGATTTGGTGCAATTGTATAGACCAATCCCTCCGCCAGGAACCCACCGGAAATTCTACCACCCCTGGAGAAAGGAACCCTACCGGATAATCAAAGTCCTGCCGTCCACGAATTATCTCGTTCGGAACGCGGAGATCGCTACTCGGCCTCAAACAGTACACCATAACAAGATTAGGGCATATACGGGTCCACCCCCAGTAGGTTACGGAGACGAAGCCTATGCGGTACCAGAAAAAGAGGTTCCGTCCGATTGAATCCCACTGGTCAGCACCGTGGACGGTGCTTGAAAGAGAAGGGGGCTGTGTAATATATTCTAGTTTGTTTAAGTGGACCTTTTATAGGCGAGAGGAGGAAAGCAATTGGAAGCGTGGATCACGTGCACGAGGCCGACGAGGACCCTCCCTGCGATTGACATCTCTTGCTCATCACATCTGCATTTTATTCCTTTATCCTTCTTACAGAGATGCCTAGTAAATCGTCCACAATCAACTTCCTCCTAAAGTTCGAGAACCAGGAACCAGAGGGTAGACAGGCAGCAACTACACAGACAAATATTAAAGTGACCGCCAAACATCATGTGATCACATAAACAAAGTATTACAGCTGCGACACTCGTCTTGTCTTTCTGCGCGTGCGCTAGCCTTCGAGCCATGCATGACCATATCCCAGCTTCCTCCCATATAATATGTATTCTGCTTAACGCGCCACCTACTTCCACCTAAGCAATTCTCAATGCGCTTTACTGTTAGTAGCTGTAATGCTTTGTTTATGCGACTACCTGACGTTCGGCGGTCACTTTAGAATTTTGTGTGACCCCTATACGCGTGGGCTGGACGTCGGGCTACGCTCAGGTCCCATTTGCCCTGCTGTCTTTGGCATACACGTATTCAACCTCACTTATGCCTTCTTCCACCCTATGGGAAGCCTCGGAACGCTAAAGTAGCGAAAAGCGAACTTGAATTTCTAACGGCTTGTATTCCAGTAACACTGTCCATGGCATGTATCTCCGGTGAAGAGGAAACGCATTTGCATTGGGTGGGAAATCATCATGAAATACTCACAACGTAAAGGTTGAGAATAATAACCGCGTGTAGTGTTACCTTTTCCTCAAGTTCCAAAGATATCTAGCCTTAAACCACCTAACAAGCTTCGTATCAGGAATTTACACATGTGCGGATTTACGCTATTTAAGTATATTTGACTAAGTCTCTGACATGCGGAACTGTAATAAATCATACCTTCTTGTTAAGACATTGGTTTTAGATTAGTGTTGTAACGTCAATCCCTGTGCGCCATTGATAACTAACAGAAAATTTCCTCGCAACACTTCTTGCCCTTGAACCAACCCTAAATCTAGTTAAAGCTGTTAAAAATGCCATTTAGAATTCCCCGGTCTTACGCCACCTGATGAGTGACAAGCTTGGCTCGAGGGGTGTTTCCTTGTAGCACCAGATGTGTTGCTAAGTCTATAGAGGGAGGTGTGCCAATAAGAGCTTCAAAAACGCACCTCAACTGAAGAGGGTGGCAACAATTATGTGACCAATTGAAGTCTAGCGATTACTTTTGTGTTTGTCCTGTAGGAACTGCCTGCCTGCTTTCATGCCCTTGAACCACGGACTTCAAGAGAGGATTGTTGCAGTAGCTACATTAGGCATTGTAAAGAGGAAGAATGGGGATAGGGTACAGATGAGCCGAATAGAAGATATTATCCGAAGAGAATTCCCCACGGTCCTCACGCACCTGATTCGCGTTCCAATCTAGTTTCCTCCTCTTCCGTAAAAGGATAAACTCAAACACTCCAGTATATATTACATGTCTAACCTAAGTACGCACGGGCTGGTCTTCAAACCAAGTTAGGACTCGATCCATTCTTCCCCTTATGAAGGTGTCATGGTCTGCTCAGCGGGAGATTTGGGGCGACAACTGCAATATATATCAATGTCTTCAAGTTGCCTTAAAAAAAAGATTATTTTAAACACGTGCTTATTGTGAAAAAGCATGATAAGCCATTCCAAAAATGAATACACCTTTCCGTCTCATTAAATAATTAAATTCAAGTATATATAGGCAGGTGCTACCGTAATGCTTCTTGCTGGCAGGCTTTATTAAGTTTGAGATGATTTGATTATTTCTACCATTAGCTATGTTTAATCATTCCTAATGCCTTAAATATAACCATTTTAAAACCAATAACTTGGTTTTGACAATTGTATTTAAATGTAAAATTATTGTAATTATTTAATGCATACACTCATTTTAGACATTTCGGACTTTCGGTGTTTATATCGTCCTAAATAATCGCAACGTATTCATTTTCAAGGCCATCCTCCTTTGTTTTTGTGGGATGGCTTCTGCATCTTCGAATGATGGGACGCGTATTATTTATTATGTCGATGAGGAAGATACACCTTATCTCGTGAAGCTTAATGCGCCATCGGATTCCGTCACACTAGGGGACTTTAAATTAGCTCTTAATAAGCCCAATTGTAAATACTTTTTCAAGTCAATTGATGATGACTTTGGGTAAGGGCTGCCCTTTGTTGTTCTGATGGTGGTGTTTATCACTTACCTTGTCTCTCATAATGGTTACGTTTGAGATTTTCTACTCATGAAGCATTTTTCTTTGTTTTTGCGTTCTATTTTGGTTTTACGTTTCTATTGTTATTAGCCTGCGCTCATTACTTTTCCGAACATTGTTTAGTAACTTGGAAGTTTTTATTTTACTTCATCGTTAACGTTTCTCCTCAGAGTCGTGAAAGAAGAAATCACTGATGACTCTGCTAAGCTTCCATGTTTTAACGGTCGTGTCATATCGTGGGTACGTTGCGTTTCATTTTATCTTCAGTTACAATTGTTTATTAATGGCTTAGTTAAGCGGCTTAGTAGCTAACGCTAGATTTTGCTTAGTTGTGTTGCTAACTTTGAAGCTTAGTGTGAATGTTCGCACCTTTTATCCACATTTTCCACCGTTCTCCCAATAATGAAAACAAAATTTCGTTTGCATTTCGCAAATCAAAATAAAGTTTGTATGCGTCAAGAATTCTTATTCCTCTGACCTAATGTTTCTTCTGTTTTGCGTCGTTATTTTTAGATTCTTTTTTTGCCTCAGATTTCATAGTTTATCTCTGTTATCTGCTTTAGTTGGTATCTAACGATAATTGCGCTGGAAGTTCCGATGGCGGTACGGGACTGAACGCTGCCAAGTTAGCTGCTCTTGCTGGTGCTCAGATCGGTGATGGGACGTGAGTTACCTTTTGTATCTGACATTAACTTGTTTGACACACTTTTTTGAAACCGAGTAATGGCATCGATCACTCCTGTCCTGATCCGTTCTCTAACTGTTTCGGAAATACTCACGATGTGGCATATTATTTTGTAACAAAACTTTTGAAGTCATTTCTAAAACACCACCTCGTCAGCTTTTTCGTTGGTTCGCCATTTTTGTATGCTTTGATTTATGGTGCACAGTTACTTTTGTTGAAATTTTTCTTCTACTGCAGAACATTTTATTACTTGTTATTTTTCTGTTTATTTCCTAGGCAGCCACCGGAGAAGAATCGTTTTGGTGAGAAGAAAATCAATGGTACATCCAAGAAGCCAACTGATGAATGCGACACATGTACTGAGGACACCGAATCTGTTCAAAGCGGTGGTCGGGGTTAGCTTTTTTGCGGAAATGTTCTTTTTTATATGATGAGCTGTGTTTACTCATTGTGATCACTGTTTCCTAATTTAGGTCTCAATTCTCTTATGTACCTCATTGTGCATAGTTGTAAATAGTAGAAAATGCTACGCGCTTAATCGCATGGGGTTTTTTCAACTTTATTAGCCTATCCAAAATTCCCGTTTTATGCCACCTTTGTTCGCAATTTTGAAGCATGAGGTTCTCCCACCGTATTAATCAATAAGATCATTCTTGTTTTCAGATCATATCGCTCCTCTTCGCACCTTCCATGACTACAAGCATGGTACGTGAATTCACAACCAAGGTTTTCCTTTTTAAAAGCTTGAATTAAAAAGTTGACGTCTTATTGGGTGGGAAGTGGTGTTCTGTTGATTTCAATCGGTTGTCCGCGGTGCACTCGGACGTGCGCAGTCTTCATTATGTTTTGCCTTGAAATGTCCGCTTCTCTTCTCATGTGCTCCTTCCCTCGGAGAAGTGGTAAAGAATAATGATTGCTTAGCCCGGTACTCGCACTTCAGAAGTGGGCAAAAGTGGCTGCTCAATCGACGTGACCAGCTCTCCCTTGCTTTCTTTCCCCTCTTAGTAGATGAAATGGCTTATCACCAAAGCCTTGAATCGTCAGACCCACAAAGATGTCAGCTTGTAATTTTGGAGACTGAAATCCCTTACCTACTGGGCTGTTTCCATTTTGTTCTTAATATGACAGGATGTTTTTGGTCGCTGGGACCCTCGACCTATCACTCGCTCCAAAAGTCACCTTTATCACGAATTCGTTAACGTTTCTACCAAAATTGTTTTTGAATATTGGAGTCTTGGTGACCTAAGAGAGGTTACTTTTGTGCGCTTTTATCTAAACTTTGTTGACGATTGAAATCATTATTTTATTTGAGTGAGTTGTGATATTTTAGTCGTTATTTATTACTAAGCTCACAGCCTTGGTAGTTAATTTTGCTTGTTGCTGATGGCCTTCATATGAATTCCTCTTTCGAATTTTTTATAACACACATTCCCGTACGTATGTTGAATTCGTCGAACTTTCAGATTAGTTTGCTGTTTGTCAGATGAACAAGTGTCTATGACAGCGTCAAATTTCCCTTCCTTGATGTTAGTTACCTGGATTTGGAAACCTTAAACTCATGTGAACCCATACACCGATTGTTTGCTAGATTTATCAGTGTTTTATCGAAAAGCGGCGCAGAAGGAAACATTTGCTATCTGAAAGGCAAGCAGTTTAGCGCCACCTGTTCTATTCATTGCATAGAATTGTTGTCATCTAATCCCTGATGTCACTTAAAATGCAGACTGGCCTTCGCAAACTGAAATGCACAGCAAAACACGTGAAGTTGGATTTAAGTACTGTCCATTTCTACATCGACTTCGTTGGCCGTTTCGGTTGAATGGGTAGATTTGTGGAAAAGGGCTGGGTTTTTTTGTTGTCATTCCAGGACTTTCGTCAAGTATAGTGGACACAGTCCATCTCTGCTCTACTTTAGGGACGTTGCAAACCCACACGAAGCAAATGTTAGCCGAACTCCAGTGTATGTGCCCGTTTCTTTGTTCTCCCGTCAACAATTCAGTTTCAAGCACTGTCGTTGAGTTTGTCCTCCGTTCTTGGTCTTACCTTGATGTGGATCTTTTTCATCCTAGCATAGTTTTCACTGGCACATCTTTTTCATGTGATGATTCCTTTCCCTTAAACTCGTTTTCGAAGTGAGGCACGAAATAGTAGTCTAACAATACGATGATCACAGGTTTTCCTTTAAGCAATTTAATGTACGTATTCAGAAATTCGACTGACATTAGACCTGTACTTATCGAAATTGACATCTAACTGTGAGTCTCCCTAATGTCCCTTCTACTTCATACGAGAGTGTTAAGGAGTAATCGAGCTTCGAGATATGTAGCTTTGTCATATTATTAGAGTCCACACATTCGAGTGCGATTACTGACTAAACTAGATTCATGTAAATATGGCATTCTTTAACCGAACAACCTTGGAGGTTCTGTTCCTGAATGTCTGTCACTTCTCTTGACTCCAAGAAATTTCGCAGTCTGTTGCGGTGAAGTATCCGCAGTGGATTGTTTTTTGAATCTGATCCTATTTTGTGCCTCGGACTGGTTAGAGAACAACTTTCTGGTTGAAAGTTAGCCTCATTAATGAAAGGAAAAAGAGTACCTGAAGATAAGGTCGGCAATCGTTCTCTACACGTCTGGGTTTGAATAAGTTGGGTGATATACCAGTCGATAGATAAAACGGCAGCGGATGGCTCAGGAACCTCGCGCTCGGCATAAAGCATACACCATCCGCATTGGAACTGGTTTGATGCTTGCAGGTGGTCGGTATGGCGGTGGTCACCACTATCACAGACATCATTTTGGAGGAGGCGGAAGTGGAGTCTACGGTGCAGGCTCAAGTGTTTCTTCAGGGCGTCATCATCACCACCACCACATGCGGGGTATCTACGGCGGTGGGGGTGGTGGCGGCTCTAGTGTCTACGAGGCGCCTTCTTCTATGATGAGCTCTGATCTCGAGTCCACCAGTTTCTTTGAATCGGACGGGGAGTCGAGCAGGTCAGCTTTAGGCAAATTATGAGACAAGCATAACTTTTCCATAGCAATTTTTTTTTAACATTAGAATCTTCTGTGCTAAACAAGTTCCTTTCAAGTACTTTGTACTACTTGCCTAACAATAATTTAAAAAGAGTAAATTTTGATAAAATATCTTAAGTTACATTATCGAAATTCGGTGCATAAAAAATTACTCGACAAATACCATAAGGCAGAAGATGATCCAACTCCAGTGTGGACTTCTTTTCCGGTTTCAATTCGTGCCCGAGCAGTAGTATTTGACATTGCTTTATGTTATTCTTCATGTTTGAATTTTACAACGATCTCCACTTCCTCTCCCATACGAAGCCCAGTAAATATCAACATCAGCATCGTCACAACCACCATCACTTCCACTACTACTTCCCACTCACTCACATCTACATTCGATTGCGTCAGAGGTCCACAATAGCGGCTGTGGTGTCTGATGTAGCTCAACACAACGCCTTACTAAAACCCGCAAAGCATTGTCATCCGTTTGCATTTCCCAACACACATACGCGAGCTCTTCCCCACCCACTTCCAGCTCCCACTGTGGTGTGGACACGTCGGTTCTGCGAGACTGCACCATGTGCCAGTCAACTTGGCGCAACCACATTTGGAGAAGGTCCCGCCAAACATCCTTCAGCCACCTTGATTTGGCTTGTGAGGCACGGATTTCTTCATCACGAGGAGGTGCATGTCTCTTGAAAATGTTTAAAGGTTAATGGACTAGGCACAGCTTCCGGTGACACGCAGTATAACCAACATAAACGCTGTCTCCACCTCCGTCAAACGAGGCAGTGGTGGTAGCTAAGCTCATGACTGCTGTCCACACGCACCAACAGGAGATGGGGACAGCTATCTCCAAACCCCGTTGACTTGCTTTCCACTTCTCTCTATTCGGCCATAGAAAGGCCACACACTTTGGTTGATCTGGCGACAGACTGACATGTGGTGAGATGTGACCCACGTGTTGCCCCTTTCGATGAGC